AAAATAGTAAATTTCTAGTAAATTTTAGCTAGGCCAGACAGCAAAAAAAAAAAAACCAAAACAAAAACTAAAAGCAAAACTACACCCTTCATGCAATTCAGTATCCAGTAAATACTGAAATCCACTGAATAATAAAGCAACAGCCTTGATCCAGCTCACTAATTCCCCTGACACCTGCCCACCAGGACTTCAACAACTTTGGAAAAATCATTAAGCATTTAAACTTAGATAATTCAACCATTCCAAATTTCTTAGTTTCCAAGATCCTTACCCAAGATGAGAGCACAGTGCAGTTCTCTAGAGTAACAAACACTTGCTAGAGGCTTTATTGATCCCTTTATCTCTAGAAACTACAACCACATAATTACCTTTTTGGAACAGTATGAATGAAACAAGTTGTTAGTTTTATCTAACTCTTTGGAATGCAATTCTTTCAGAAATCAGCTTTTGTCATTAACAAAACCAAAGACCCTCTCAACAAGAGCTCTGCACTCAGCTCTGCTGGGTTCTCCACCACAGTTATCTCAGCAGCTTCATCAGCTGCTTCCTTGGAAGGGTTAGGGCCAAAAACGTCTCATTAAAGACCAGCTCCACACTTTGAAATCAAATGTTTACTAATTAGGTATCTACCGACAGCAACTACCCTGGTTGCATCACTTCGACACCCACCTGAGGAATATACCCTTCCTAACAATCAACTGGTGAAGACTTTTATATAAATAACTGCCTCTAAGCAAGGAACTCTAAACTGAGTTTTCTGCAGCTCCCAGCTTCTCTCCACTGCCCTAGAGACCGTCACTGCACTAAACTCACCTCCAGCTCCAGGACAGCCAGTATGCATTCCCAACACACTATTCTAGAAAACCTGAAACAACAAAACACCAGCAACCAAAAAAGGGTGCTGGGGGGGGACATTCTGGCATGCCTAGAATTCTAAACTACTCAACATCTAGATCCTAGAACAGTTTGGGTTGAAAGGGACATTAAAGATCATCCAGTCCCCCAGCCCCTGCCCTGCATGTACCATTTGGTACCCAACCACTCCATTGAGAATTGTCTTGGATTCAGGTGTCTTACTTCCTATCTCACCCTAATCAACTTACCTTCTTTTCTAAGCATTCTGCAAATTTCAACTGCTTCAACAGCTTCTTCTGCTTGTTGCTGAAGCGATTGTCCTGTTCTGCGCTTGTTCCCTAAAGCAGAGAAAATAAGTTTTTTAGTCTAGATGACATCCAGCCATCTTCAAAGTATTAGTTTCCCCACATATTTGCACTGCTCAGTGCACAGCAACACCAGCATTACCATTCTGTAAGCAAATAAGCCTTTTCAGGTACCTTTCAACATTAGCACTACAGTCTTCATCTACTGCTGAAGACTTAGGGGAAAGCAGGCTCCTGAGCTCTACAGTGACACCTTAATCATATCATCTCCCTGGCAAACTACTTACAAGTTAGAAGTACAATAGCAACAATCTGCTAGGAAAAGGACTTACGCTGGAATTCACAAAGACTTCAGAAGGTATAAGGTCTTTTTCCTCTGTTCAAGAACAAAAATGTCCTATTTGTTTACAGTGACTTCTACAAACCCTTTGGGTAAACTTCTCTGAAGCAAATCAGCCAACACGAAGGCAGCGAGAGTACAAAGAATACTATTTTATTGATCAGGCTCTGTTAAAGTTCACCAACTCGTTCCACTTTCATGAACAGAAACTATAGGTTAATTCATTCGGAACTGAGAGGCTTAAAAGTCCAAATTTGGAAAATTTACTTGCACAGAAGTAAACAGAACCGCACAGGAACAGGAGTATGTGCAGAACTGCATCCAAAAATATACTGATGACCTGTTAATGATTCAAAACAAACCCACAGTTCACACATGAAGTTTATTCAGAAAACCAACCTGACTGATGGAAAACACAGGAATTTAATACATGGAAATTTCCTACGCAGAAAAAAAAGGGGCTGAAGAATACCAGCAATAATAGAAACTGCTAAGAAACCAGAGGGTAATAAATAAGAAGCAGCTCAAATTCTAAGGTAACCTAACCACTTCAGTTGATCAGAAAGCTCCTTGAATTAGCCACATAACGTGCCAAAAAGTCATCAGATATTGAAAGGAAATGAAGGCAGAGAGACAAAATAGTTTGCGCTGACTTTACAGAAGTGCAAAGAATTGAAAGAATTATTAATAGCAGCTTTCTTGATAAGGCAAGTCCAAGTTGCTGTTCTGGTGTATTTGGGTTCTTCTGAACGCAGAATAAAACCAGACCAGAACACTGTCTCACAGCCCCGTTTCAGAGCCATGCTGCTTTTGTTTTTATAAACAGTCACCCTTCACAGACCAGTTTAAAAGAATATTAGATCTATAATTCAGTGTTTTCAATCCCAGTAATACCAATTGTCAATTGCAATGTCAATTACAACTACTTGATTTGTAATATTCCTTAACAATTGTATTAGATAGAATAAGTCTAGATTTAATTTATAATTCTTTTTCTCAGGCAAGTATGTTAACACAAAATTGAATTACGTGCAGGGTTACATATATCTTCATGTTGTAGAAGCATCCTAGTTGCAAGAATAAAAAATAATAGGGCTGAACAAGTGCACGAGTCTTGGAAAATTAAACTGGCTTTCAAAATTCTCAACAAACTCTTTAAAAATAGGCTCATTCTAATTAATGGGAGAAAAGGCTAAAAGGAAATACACCCTAGGTAGGTTACTTTTTAATAGTCTCTGCAGAAAATACAGCACAGCTGTGAGAAAATAAAAACTCAATGACTAAAAAAAACCAACAAAAAACCAAACACCAACCTAAAAATAAAGCGTAACTTCTTTTCGCTTTGAAAACATTTAAGACGCTTCGTGTCAGTTTGAAAATTTCTCTCTTTAAAAAAAAAAAAGGGGGGGGGCAGCTTGTTTATTTGATTGGAATGCTGACACCAAGGTGCAAATCGGGTTTACCCCCCAACTGCCTCTTTTCTCCCCCACCTCCCCGCATTTCAGGGCCGTCAGAGCTCAGACCGGACACAGGCCCGCACGGGCCAGGCCCCGTCTCGCCGGGACCTCTCTTCCTCCGCCGGGGTCAGAGGCCCGGCCGCCCCGAGGCCTAACGCATGAACCGGCGGCCCTAGGCCGCACCGGGCGAGCGCGGCCCTCGGGGGCGCCGAGGGAGGCCCGCGTGCCCCCGCCGCGCTCCGAGCAACCGGCGAGCCCGAGTCCGGGGCGACCAGTCCTCTCCCAACCGCTTCCTTCCCTCTCCCGCAGCCTCCCGGCGCGGCAGCCTCACCCGCCCGGCCCCCCCTGAGGCCGGCACTTACGCGGAAGAACCCCGCGTCCATCTTGCCTCCTCCGCCTCCTCCTGGTCGCAGCGCGCTGCCGTCCCGGCGTGCACCGCGCGCCCGCGAGCCCCCTCGCACGCGCGCCGCCGAAGGGGCGGAGCCCCCCTCCCCGCCGCAAAGGCTCTCCGGCGACTGCTCATTGGCTGGCGGCCGCGGCGGAGGGTCTGTGCGCGCGCGGAGGGCGGCCAATCAGAAAGCCGGAGCGAGGGGGGGCGGCTGATCCCGGGTCGTCCTCTCGCGAGATGTTGGCCCGGGCGCTCGCGGGCGGCGGCGCGTGCGCGGCGGGTAACGGTCCTGCGCGAGGGCGGCCATGGCGGTTCCCTCAGCCGGCACAGCGGGCTCCCTCCCGCCTCCCTTTTCCCTCAGTGAACTGCTTCCTCGCGTCAGTTCGGGTCCTTCCTCGGCAGAACAGCGATCCCCGGGCCCGTACAGCCGCACAGAAGGCAGCGGGATCTTATCGGGGTGTGGAGGGGCCGTCACGCCGGGCCAGGCCTCTCCCTGGCCCTGAGGTGTCCGCCTGCAGGGTCACTGCTCGGTGCTCGCTGCTCTGCCCGGTCAGTAACGGCTACGGGCTGTGTTTGATTGCCCTGCTGGAAATTGTCATGAGCGGCCCAGCCCTCCCTCCCTCCTGCTCCATCACAAATCGGGCTGTGGCTCCTGCGGGGGAAACCGTGTGTGGTACCGACAGGAACGTGAGAGGAAGGGAGGGTCATGGCACGGTCCGCTGGGGTTAATTCAGGTATCCAAAGTAAAAGCCCTGGGTTTTATATAAAAACTGTATGTCCTTTATCTTTAAAAAGGAATTAATAGGTTCCTTTACATAAAGTTAGATTATAAAGCACAATAGTTGCTTCCCGATTTATCAGCAGTCATTAGTAAGTGTTACACGGGAGAGACACGTGCCTTTTACAGATGTCTTTTTGGAAAATAAATTGGTTATGGGAGTCGGGGGAGAGGAGGGGAGAACAATATTATATTTCATCTGCTTAGGCTATCAGTGATCATATCTCTGCGTTTTGCCAAGCTCTGGATGGCGCTTAACTCTTTGGAGTAAGGGGCAGGAGGCCTGAAAGTTTCTGAAAGGTACTCAAATTGGCAACGAAACTTGGAATTACTGTATGGTTTTGCCTGTTGGGAAATGAGGAGGACACTAGGTGGAGCTCCCTGCTCTCTGCTGGAGTAAAGTGAGTGATGGACCCAGCAGGGGTGAAAGCTGCTGCACAGAAGTTTAGGGAAACAGGACCCAGAACTGAAAAACTGAAATATTTTACTAGTGTACTTGCATCAGTAAAGTGTCAGCTGTGAGACTGAAAGCTCCAGCTGCTGAAGCCATAAATCCTAGAAGACTTTAGGAGCAAGAAATAAACCCCACCTCATTCTTGCAGACCCAACTACTGAGTATGCCCTTAGGAAAAAAAATCTTAGCAGTATTTCTTTGTATGACCTGCAGACAAAATGTTCTCATTGTGACTGCTGGATACAGCCCAGCTGGCACTTTGCAAAGAGAGAAACTTAACCAAAGAACAGAGTAAGGAACTAGAAATGTTGCTTGTATCACATTTCTGAGCAAAAAACGCCCTCTGAGGTGCTGTGCCACTAAGGGTTCAGCTTTGTATTAATTTGCAGAGCTTCAGGGATAATCTGTAAGGAGTTTGTTAGAGCTGTTACATTGCCTGTTCTCTCCGAAGTCACTGAATCACAGAATGGTTGGAGTTGGAAGGGACCTTAAAGATCATCGAGTTCCAACCCCCTGCCCTGGGCAGGGACACCTCCCACCAGACCAGGTTGCCCAAAGCCCCCTCCAACCTGCCCTTGAACCCCTCCAGGGATGAGGCAGCCACAGCTTCTCTGGGCAAATGATTTCTTCCTGAGATTGCATCTAAATCTTCCCTCTTTCAATTTAAAACTATTACCCCTCGTCCTATGGCTCCCCTCCCTGATCAAGAGTCCCTCCCCATCTCTCCTGTAGCTCCCTTCAGGTACTGGAAGGCTTCTCTAAGGTCTCCCTGGAGCCTTCTCTTCTCCAGGCTGAACAACCCCAACTCTCTCACCCTGGCTTCATAGGAGAGGTGCTCCATCCCTCTGAGCATTTTCATGGTCCTCCGCTGGACCTGCTCCAACAGGTCCATGTCCTTCCTGCATTGAGGACTCCAGAGCTGGACACAGAGCTCCAGGTGGTTTCTCACAAGAGCAGAGCAGAGGGGTAGCATCACCTCACCTCCCAAGTCTTACACAGTCCGGGGTTTCTTTACTAGACCAATCAGCAAAATCAGCTTTCAGTTATTTGTTGGTTGGGGTTTTTTTTTTTAAACAGCAGGTCTACCTGATAGCAAGTCTGCAGACAAAGGCAGCCAAAAGGCAGCTTTTTCCCAAAAAACTAGGGGTTTGAAAGCGGAAGGAGAGCACCTGGACAGGGCAGGTGGAATCAGTGCTGCAACAGCTACTGTTACAGGGCAAGGACACTGTGGGGTTGTTCCTGGAAAACCGTGAAACCCACAGCAAATTACACAAGGCTTATAGTTGCAGCGCGGTGGAAATCCAGTGAATTTTGTTTCTTAAAGAGGTGATTTTGCTGGGTCAGCACAAGCTCTGCATTTTGCTGACGGGAGTCAGAACGGATGGTGGGGGCCTCCCAGACTCTGCCAATATAAGGCAAATTTTACTGGTAAAACAGCACGGTTTGAATTGTTCTGATTGAGCAACATTAGTGTGGTCAAGGCAGCAATTCTCCTGCCAATGATAGTAATTCTACTAACCTAGAATTGCTTATTCTGCTGCAGTGAAGCAAAGTGAACTTCATTGTTTGGAAATTCTGTAAATGGAAAGTAAACAAAATTTGCTAGAAGTACGTCTGGCTGGTAACATTAAAAAAATAACAGTAAGATGGGGCTTATCTAAAGATCTTGATTTTGATACAGTGGAACATGCTTAGAAAACATTCTTAGCTGTCCAGAGATTGGGAGAGGAGGCCAAATCCTTTGCATTTTTTAGAAAAAAAAATGAAATTGGCACCTGCAGTCCCTCCTGAATGATTCTATCAATCACTGCTGCCACAAAAAATAACTTAGAGAACTAGGACAAGTAAAATATTTACAACAAGATTTAAAAACTTCACAAACAGCTGTCTTAATATTTAGTTTGGAATTCAAACTGTGCTCCAGGTTCATTAAAAAAAGAAGAAATATAAAAATGTGCAAAGTAATTGAATTTAGTTTCTGCACAAAAATACCAGTCAGTAAAAATGATCTGTTCAAGAGATGCATTCACATCCTGGGAGGAATAGATTATATATCCCTTCAGTCCCTCATCGCTTCACTCTGAGAAGGGGCAGCTTTGTTTTGGATGGTGGTTTAAGGATGTAACTATTGGTGACGTGTGATGGTGTCAAGGAGAACAGCAAGTGAACCACTGGAGGACAAAAAGCTTCACAGCTGGCGGCTCCCTGTGACCAATTCAGTTAGACAGGAGCAACATTTCTCTCTACAGCTCTCAAAAAGGAGTTAAAATACCTCCTAACAGTTTTCCTAAGGGCTGCAAACGGGCTGGAGCCCTCTAACGGTCACAGCAGCTTGGAGCCAGCTGCTGGCAGGGGCTCAACACAAGGCACACCATCCAGACTGCTGTGGTACCACTGTCTGAGCTTCACCCTCTGCCCAGCCATTCCCCCAACAGCAGAAGGACATTGAGCTGTTGGATGGGGCCAGAGGAGGCCACGGAGATGCTGGGAGGGCTGAGGCTCCTCTGCTGGGAGGACAGGCTGAGAGAGTTGGGGGGGTTCAGCCTGGAGAAGGCTCTGGGGAGACCTTCAAACCCCTTCCAGTCCCTAAAGGGGATCCAAGAGAGATGGGGAAGGACTCTTGATCAGGGAGGAGAATGACAGGACATGGGGTAATGGCTTCAAACCAGAAAAGCGGAGATTTAGATGAGATATTAGGAAGAAATTCTTTGCTGTGAGGGTGGTGAGAGCCTGGAACAGGTTGCCCAGAGAAGCTGTGGCTGCCCCATCCCTGGAGGGGTTCAAGGGTAGGTTGGAGGGGGCTTTGGGCAACCTGGTCTGGTGGGAGGTATCCCTGCCCACGGCAAGGGGTTGGAACTGGGTGGGCTTTAAGGTCCCTTCCAACCCAAACCATTCTGTGATGCTCTGGTTTTTCCTGATCCTTCCCCTCTGTCCTGTCAGGCAGTGTCTCGGAGCTGCTGTGATATAGACACTGGAGACAATCAGCCACTGAAGATCAGACAATGTCTGTGTGTTCCCACTCAGTGGGCCGTGAGTATCCTTGGGAATTCCTTTGTTGCATTACTGTACACCCACCACCATCACACTTGCAAAACAACATCGATTTTGCTTACTTTCTAGAATAAAAAATTCCTAAAAATAGTTCAGGCCCAGCCTGCGTTAGAGCACAAGGCACTTCAGGATGTGAGTTGTGCATGGGGGCTGTACAAAGCCTCACTTGTTTATGCTGCCTTGCCATGGTTACTTTTTCAGCTGAAGAACTGCTCAGATTTTGTGTAAGACACAACATTCTAAGGCAACTCCAGTAACAAACGTAAAGCAATTCTTGGCTTGAGAGTGAAAAGCCTGAGACGTTGAGTTCCTTTGGAAATGGAGAGGTTACCAAGTTTATAGAAATATTGCAAAAATACTTGAAAAAAAAAAGTAACTTTTTCTCTTTTATCTCATACCATACATATGTGGCATTAGAAACACAAAAGATGAGTAAAGATAAATACAATTCTGATACTTCCTGTACTATCCATCATGTATAAAATAGACTACAAACCTGTTTCACAAAAAATCACAACACACCCAGGTTCAACCTGAGCCGTAGCTCACATGTCCCAGTTTTCCTTCCAGTTTCTCCTCAGTCATTGCAGAATAGAAGTTCAAACTCTCCAAGTAAGTAAAAGCTCCACAAAATCTGAGTGTGCATCTTCCCTTCCAAGGAATGGGCTTGGTTTATTCAGTCTCTCTGCACCCAGAGCTCTGTAGGAAGGCTCGCTGCGTTTCTGACCATTTCTTTGCCTCCACCAGTTGCTTTCAGCCATACAAAAAGCATCCAGACCTTTTATTTTTCCTCCCAAAGAGGGAAAGCAGGATTAATTACAATCTATAGACAAAAAGAACAGCTCGTTGCAGTTCCCAATGCAGTGTCCCTTTGCTGAGGAGTTCCAGGTCCATGTAAATAAGAATTCCATCTCTCTTCCCCCACAGGGAGGCCGGATGTTCCCAGTTATCTGTTCTGCATGTGGATGTCCACGGGTATGAAGGTCACGGTGGGATGCTGAGACAGGCTGTGGCTGTTCTGCCCTAAAGCTGGTGGCATTGCTGGTTTGGCACTTTTGGGTTCCAGCTCCCGCTTCACTCTCATGCGCCTGAAAAGGTAAAAATGAAATTGTCACCAGGGTTGGCACGTGCTGGTATTGGGAAGGTTCCTGCATGAAATTGTCACCAGGGTTGGCACGTGCTGGGTCTCTTCTTGGTACTGGGAAGGTTCCTGCGGAAGCAGGTTATATTGAACAGCTACTGAAAAGTCAGTAAAAGCCAGGATTTCATCCCAAAGATACCAACTGACAAGTCAGTGCGTCTCGAGTCTAACCCAATGCCCTCAAAAGTGAGACATCAAGCTCCTCTTGGGCAGCCTTGATGCCCACAGCAGACCTTTCCTATCTCAACAGGAAGCCCTGAAAAGACCTTCCATCAAGCACCCTCCACCGAGAACCTCTTTCTGCTTCCAAGCAATTCAGTCACAGAGATTCAGGGCATTTTAATCAAGCACATTACACTTTGGTTTCTTTTGGGAATTTTCAGCAATAAATATCAATTTCATCCCAAAGATACCAACTGACAAGTCAGTGCGTCTCGAGTCTTACCCAATGCCCTCAAAAGTGAGACATCAAGCTCCTCTTGGGCAGCCTTGATGCCCACAGCAGACCTTTCCTATCTCAACAGGAAGCCCTGAAAAGACCTTCCATCAAGCACCCTCCACTGAGAACCTCTTTCTGCTTCTTAGCAATTCAGTCACAGATTCAGGGCATTCCAATCAAGCACATTACAGTTTGGTTTCTCTTAGGAATTTTCAGCAATAAATATCGAAATGGTCTGTTAGATGAGAGGGCACCCAACTGATTTTGGTTCATCCTATCTCATCGTAGTCAAATACAGAACTTGGCCACGTACCTGTTGTATGTTTTCAGTATGAGCAGAACCACTGTAAAAATAATAATCACTCCTACTACGATGGCAGCAACTATTGCTCCAGAACCTAGTAGGGAAGCAGAAAGGGGAAAAAAAGTCTTTATTTACAAAGTTGCCATTGTATTGTTTGAAGTTTGCTAAGTTCAAGGTCCATTTAAAAAAAAAAAAGCCACCACCCCACTGCTTTTCTTACTTTGGTAGAGACTTTGTTCTTGAGACTTCGTGGTCACATTGACTGAGAACTGAGTGTTATTGATCAGTGGTGCGGCTGTCGTCATTTTGATTCGGCTACAGTAAAAAAAAAAATAAGAAGAGTGAGTTCATAAAATATTAAGAGCGATAATTCAGTGCTAATTAAGCAACAACCCATTAAAGATTCAGAGCTCACTAAGTGGAGACTCACTGAACTGGGGTTCTTCGTATTTTCTTAGTGGTGAAAATCTGGCCCTACTGAAGTTGATGGAAATTTGGCTACAATCCAGTCATGAGCAATTTACCTGACTGTATGCACTGCTCAGAATTAAGAGGATAAAATAAGATATAAACACCATAATGCATTATTACATATACATTATTGCTGTTATAGAAGTTGTGGATAAATATATGTATTTTAAATGTTTTACGACTTTAGAATATCATCTCGGGTTATGAGATTCAGATCACCGAGTGATCAGTGTGGAGAGTAGTATGTCTTTAAGGAAGGAAAAGAAAGTCAGCATGGAAAGGTTTAAAAACATTCTTATAGAAGAGAATTTAAAGTAGCTTCATTCATCTATCATGGAGGAAAAAAAAACACATGTAACCCCCTAACCTGAAACTCCAAAAGTTACATACAAACAACAGCTATCCCATGACAGGAAAAATACATTGCAACGTGACTCTGAAAGAAAGTTGATGTGAGTTCAGACCAGTCCCTCACACACACACCAGTGTCACCCCTGGTCTGTTACTGGGAGAGGACAGGGCTGCAGGTGGAGAGCTGAAAATACGCCTGCTCCTGCATTTCGGTAGGGCAAAACTAGATCTAGAAAGAGCAGCCAGTATGTTTACTGATTTTAAAAGTGTTTTCCAAATGTTTTCTCAATGTGACTGGTAACCTTAGCCATTAAAAGACTCCTTCAGTCTGAGAAGGGTGTGAAAACCACTTCAAAGAGACCTCTGAAACCATTTCAGCTCCCGGATCCAGAGAGCTAACACCCTCTAACTATCCAACGAAAATTAAATTATTCTTCAACACCTGAGTTGCCCATTTCAGATGCTGCCCAGTAGAACCAGCCAGGACTCTACCCTGCTCTCTCTTCTACTCCACTGGGATATCATGGATCTGTGGCATGTTCTTAGCAGCTTTAATTTTACAAAGCACAAGACATACAACACCCAGGGAATTATTAACTGGGTAGAAATCAGTTGATAATTAGAGAATCACAAACACGAAAGGCAGCCTCCCTTCCCTTCCCCCTTAGCAAAGCCTTCCCAAAGGTTTCTGCAAAGTAGGATCCATCAGATAGAACACAGGTGGTGGTGAGGTGCTGTTTTGGGAGGGAAGGGGGAGCCAGGCAGGGTGTATTTTGGGGTGGGAGGCAGTAGCTGGGTCCACACACCGGGTGTATTTGGGAGGCTCTGCTAATGGATGGCTCAGGAATGAGAGAGGTCAGTCACTGGCAGGGAGGGAAATGGTCCGTGTCTGCCTGGGTATGAAGGATCAGAATTGCAAGGTCAATTCATCAAATCCTTCCATCCCCTTAAGTTAAAAAGGTTGAGGGTTTTTCCTTAAAAAAAAAATAAAATTCAAAAATAACTGTCTCAAGTCTGTAACTGGGTCATTCTCCTCTGACTGAATGATTCCTTTGTTTAGCCAAGACCGAGTTAATGCAGCAACGTGATCATCAACTGTAGTCATAGGTCTTTTTCCTGCTGAAAGAAATATTTTGTGTTTAGAGTTTGCCCAGCTTTATCATTGTGCACAGCGAGAAGAGCATTGACACACGCCTTGAAGGAAGTGAAGGTGAGAGGCACCAAAGCTCGGGTGACAGCGCTGTCCCCATCTGTTTCCCCACCCACCCATTTGAAACGGCATCGGTGAAGGCTGTCCCATGGAGAAGCAGAGGCTGAAGAGCCTCCTCATCACACCAGAGGCTGGGGAAAGCTGGGCGAGTATTTTGACTACGGACATAATTCATAAAAAGCCAAGTTCAACTTTTACCTTCTTTCTCCTGACTGGGAGAGCACCAATTCCAGTTTTACCCAAGCGTTTTTCTCCTCCTCTGGCTACTAAAATAAAAAAATCCCAGATAAATAAGGCTGAATATTTAGATATTAAGCCATGTGATATTCATACTGAGTAACTTCTATCTGGTTCAAACCACCTTGGTAACGGTGAGCTGTTTGTGCATGAGTCACCTATAACCAAAGAATTTTTATTGTTGTCAGTGAAACCGCCTGTTTACAAGGAGGCTGAATTTACCCGACCGGGTGTAACAATCTAAGGTGCAATTTGAAAAATATGGCAATTTTGGGGGGTTGGGTTTTTTTCTGCATAATATATAGCAAGTAAGGAGATCCAAGGTCTGTGTCTGAGGCCAGGGTGGGAGGTACAAGTCCTCAGTTGTGCTGTTTTACCTCCAGCAAGTCCCAGCTCCATTCCTCCCCCGTGAATCAGCGGGGTTTCACCTGACCGAGCTTGTGCTGCGAGACTCCAGGACCCAGCAAAGTCCAGCAAAATCCATGGGACCCCACTGATTCCAGGGTCCTGCAGCCTGGACCCTACTCCGTTTAGAAAAACACTTGGAAACTCAATAAAAACTAGATAGGAGAGGAGAAGAAACGGACTTTGATACAGCAATCACAGGACATTCTTTCTTTATGACACACGGTGTGCACTTCCCCTGTGCACACACACACCTGAGAGCACTAATTCACCCAGAGTTCTCCAGACTGGGGCTGGGGGCACACCCCACCGGTTATTTTTGCATCCCCCGTGTTATGGAGCTGGAAATGTTTCCGTGAAGTTAAGCTTTGGGCACGTTTCCATCTAAAACACCTTGGCAGATACAGCCAGGGGGTTGTTTTTGGCCAGCTGTAGCAATGCCCCCATTTATCCAGCCAAATTCCAGGCTTGAATGGCCACGCTCATTCGCAGTGAGATGGGGGTCGGGGACCATCTGTCAGGAGGGTCCTGGCAGTGGCAGGAGAGGGGTGACAGGGAACAGAGGGGTTTGGTTGAGTTTTTCCAGGAAAGCTGGACTTCGAGAGCCAACTCCCTGCCAGGGGAGGCAGGTGCTGGTTGGGAGACACACAAATTCAATGCTTTGCCACCCAAAAAAACCCCATCAAGCTGCGTTGCAGGCTTTAAACTAGACACAAAGTCAGCTATTGTTTCTCCAGCAGTAATATATACTAGTTTTGAGCCAGAAGCTCAACTAGAGAATTAATTCATCCTTTCAAGTGCACTGCTGCACAGATAGGATTTTCATCTTACATTGCAGCCAAACACTGCCTGGAAAACAGGTGATTTTTCTCTCCTGACTTATCCAGGTCTAAGGAAGAGCTCTGGCTGCCAGCTCTACTGCTCTGGGACTTGATTCCCTTCCCAAAAACGTCTGCAGGGCAGCGTCTTAAATCACAAAAACCACCAAGGATTGGGACAACAAAACCCAGTACTGGTTTGCTTGATGTCTGCATTGTATAGCAGAAATTTCAGAAGATGCAATTCTTTGCTGTGAGGGTGGTGAGAGCCTGGAACAGGTTGCCCAGAGAAGCTGTGGCTGCCCCATCCCTGGAGGGGTTCAAGGGCAGGTTGGAGGGGGCTTGGAGCAACCTGGTCTGGTGGGAGGTGTCCCTGCCCAGGGCAGGGGGTGGCACTGGGGGGGCTTTAAGGTCCCTTCCAACCCAAACCATTTTGTGATTCATTTGGGCTCAGCTCAGCTCGCCCATCACCCTGTGCAGCCAAGTAACTCCCATCCAAGGGAGAAGTTAATCCTTCTAAGTAAGTCCAGACTTCTTCTCCCTTCTAAAACAGGTTGGAGGGGGCTTGGAGCAACCTGGTCTGGTGGGAGGTGTCCCTGCCCAGGGCAGGGGGTGGCACTGGGGGGGCTTTAAGGTCCCTTCCAACCCAAACCATTTTGTGATTCATTTGGGCTCAGCTCAGCTCGCCCATCACCCTGTGCAGCCAAGTAACTCCCATCCAAGGGAGAAGTTAATCCTTCTAAGTAAGTCCAGACTTTTTCTCCCTTCTAAAAGCAACGGGGCTCAAAAGTGAGGACCTGGCAGAGGCTGGAGTCTGTGAGGAGACCCCAGAGGAGGCAGATGGTGCTTCAGCTCCTTTCCTCCACCCGAGCAGCCTGACCTTCCCTGCCTTTGCCAGAAGGTTTGCCTTGTCTGATCACCCAGGGGTGATCACAGCAAACACCCAGGGGTGATCACAGCAAACACCCAGGGGTTTGAACCTGCCATTTTTTGGTTGTTCCCTGCTGTTTTCCAGCAGCAGGGGAATCAACTGAGCATTTGTGGCACGGAAAGGAAACCGGCTTATATTTAAGAGTCACAAACTCAGTTTCAGCTCCCCATAACCTGGCAAAGCTTCCATCCTCCATCCCAACAGCCACGTGCCCCCGCGCTCACCTTGAGCCACGAAAACCGGGAACGGCGCCGGGGCTTTGAGGCAATTGTGGCACGGAAAGGAAACCGGCTTATATTTAAGAGTCACAAACTCAGTTTCAGCTCCCCATAACCTGGCAAAGCTTCCATCCTCCATCCCAACAGCCACGTGCCCCCGCGCTCACCTTGAGCCACGAAAACCGGGAACGGCGCCGGGGCTTTGAGGCAAACTGTAACTTCAGAAAGCAATGAGAGCACAACGAGCTTCAGTGAGACCTGAAGGTGCCTGAATTTACTTTGAGTGCCCCCGCGCTCACCTTGAGCCACGAAAACTGGGAACGCCGCCGGGGCTTTGAGGCGCACTGTAACTTCAGAAAGCAATGAGAGCACAACGAGCTTCAGTGAGACCTGAAGGTGCCTGAATTTACTTTGAGAGGCTCTAAGAGGGAGGAAGGGGAGGGGGGAAAAGAACCCAAGCTCAAACTGGTGGGAGCTGAGGCATAAAGGTGGCCTCGGGCAAACAACCCGCTCGGTGAGGAGCCTCTGTGTTCCTACGTGTCCTGGTGTCAGACCAGCACCTTTATATAAGTGTTTGTCTCAGGTTCTGGCACGAGCTCTCCAGGTTTAGCTGTTGTTAAAACACATATTTAAAGCGTTTCACTTCCTTGCCAAGACAAAGTTACACAAAGTGCCGGCGACTCTACTGTGCAGTAGCAGCACCAAGGAAAAAAAACAAACAGTAATTCTACCTGCGTGGCTTATTATTTTCACGGAGGAAGATACTTCTGTCTTCACAGAGGCTCACGCAGAGGACAAGAACTGAGGAAGTGAAGACAGGTCACCGAGGAAGGTTTCAAAAGTCTGGAAATTTGAACCAGACAGACATTGTCATCGACTTGCCCAAGAGCAATGTCTAAACCCAGACTGTGAACTGCTGATTTCCCAATTCTGATTTTTCTGCCTTAAAATGCTGGGCCACACACATTTCTCCTCTCCCTCCCTCGGTGTGAATGCACTTATTCACAGGAACTGCAGCAACTCCACCACGTTCAGCAAAGCGTATTCACAGCGTAAAAACCACTCCAGATCCTTCAGGGTAGCTCTGTCTCTGCAGACAAGCCAGAATAGGGAAGGAAAACAAGCCAGAGGTATTTTCCCACTGGTCACAGGCCAGGATCTAAGCACAGGCGCGTTAGAAAACTTGTGAAATATATGTCAGGACCAGGATTTGAACTTCAGATGGAAAAACCCTGCCTTACCACCACCACCACCACCACCACCACGCTGGTAGTTGAGGTTCCTGCAGCTCAGACCTTGTGCTGCTCAAATGGAACCTCCAGCTCCCGAGCTATTCAGAGGGATCTGTCAGGTTGAGCTCAGATGCCTGTTGTTGAATTTTGTACTTTTTAAGCCCCTTAACTCCCTCACTTTCACTGATAAATATCGTACGTGTCATCTAGAGCTTCCCAGTCAGGTTGAGCTCAGATGCCTGTTGTTGAATTTTGTACTTTTTAAGCCCCTTAACTCCCTCACTTTCACTGATAAATATGTGTCATCTAGAGCTCCCCCCTAGCTCTGGCCAGTTGTCTGGGATTTCCCAGCCTGGACCCAGGCACACTTTACCACTGGTCCAAGTTTCCAAGCAGACCTGTGGGTGTTGGGACACAATAAAAACCCCTTCTCCATCCAGAAATTCTAGACAAAACTGAAATTTTAAACTAATACATCATCCAAAAGAAAATGGTCTATTTAATGTGGTGTGATGATATAGTAAGGCTTTTTAAAAGACATTTACAATAAATCATTTGGTCCAGTGGTTGCACTTGCAGAAGACCAAGTTCCTTCATTATTATTTAGGCTGAAGTGATTAATTTAAGAGGAAAAGGAATAACATTTTAAAACAAAACCGCCCTTTACATGCAGTGCAGGTGTCAGGTATCAAGAGAGACCTGGGAGCAATTTTGCAGCTTATTCCTGAAAGGAATGCTAGAGGCTTTCCTTTGTGGGCAGCTTTTTTAAATTAATATTAGAAGGCTCTTGTTCTACATTTTTAACTTCTGGCTGTACACACAGGAGATGCTAAAGTAACCAGCTACGAGTGGCTGGCAAATAAGCAGTCTCCACCTTACTATAACAAAGCAGGAGAGGTGCAGTACCCTGCTTGCTCTTTTTTTTTTCTTGGAGGAAAGATTCCTTCCTTTCCCACAACATAGACCCACATCTCAAGACTTAGAGCCAAACGACTCACAGATGGAGCACACCAATTTCCAGGGCCATGAGGCTGCCTCCAAGGCTCAGGCAGTGTCCGGAATGTCTCCTATTTTTGCAGAAAAGCCCTTTCTAACAGCACAGCGTGACACACCACTGATTTCTACCTCCTTTGGGACCGGAGGTAGCTCACAGTTCTCTACGCTGTGTCAAGAAGATCATACATCTGTTGGGTTTTTTTCCCCTCAGATGTGTTCCTCCACCAGAAGGCTTTGTCTGAGCAGATACTGAGGGTTTTCTATCCCTTGGTATCTGGACATTCTCCATTTCAGCCATCCCTGCACAGATTCAGTAGCTCAGAGATGGGCTGCACGTCTGGAAACGGGGGATACATCCCCTGTGCCGTAAGTCCCCCGCTGTCTGGAAGGGATGGGATGCAGTTCTGTATTAAATTTCACAGCAAATCGGCGGAGATAAACCGCTGCATCCCAGAAATGCTGCTTTTGTGCTGGAGGCAGCTCATATGCACACAATTCAGCCAGGAAAATCAACATGAGGGACACGAGGGACAGCCAATCCATAGTACAGAGCAATGCCTGAGGCTGGTTCCCAGCTCATCCACACTCAGCAGGAGCTGGAAGCCCCTTCCGAGCACAGAGGTATCAGCAGAACCTCATTTCTGAGCAGCAGCTCCCACCAGTGCCTGGCAGCATAATTAACCTCTGATGAAAAATGAGAAATGGGGATGAAAAATGCCGTCTGGTGGTTTACGAGACTCACCACCGCAACGGGCGAAGAAAATCCACCCACAGCCACACACTGGAAAGCAATGAGTGTTGCTGCAGGTACAAAGCATCACAGGAGCCCTGAACACACACAGGCTCCCCAAAAACAACCCAGTCCAGGCTCTCAGCTTGCAATTAGGTGGTTTTACCCACTGCACACTGATAAGGGCCCAGCCACCGTCCCTGTTCCTGGGAGCACCCAGGTGGGGGGCGCGGGAGGGAAGGATGTATAATTAGCAGTTAAATATTACCCGGAAAAAAAAACAGATTCAGAAAGAAGAAAAATGCCTCCAGGCACCTGCACGGATCTCAAGGCAGGAATGACTCATGGGGGAGGGTGAATGAGACTCAAGGTGACAAACTCCAGAAGCCATCAAGGTGTGCACTCAGATGGAAAGCCAGAAAATTAATCTGAGCTGAACCCTCAGTTATGGTCTGGCAGCGGCCGGTGGCATCACGTCACGCAGCCCTTGAGTCACAGCACTCAACAGTTTGTCTCCACAGAGATCCCAGCAAAGTGCACGTTGGTGGCAAATTCACTGGATCTGGAGAAATAAACCACACACCAAAAAAAGCAGCTTGCCCTTGAGGACTGTCTGCTTCTGCTCTTGCAGGGGAAAAGCGACCCTGCTCTGTGCACATAATCCTCTCAAAAAGGCTCTGTTGGGGCAGGGCTCACTTCAGCAATATCTTTGGAAAACTCCCTACAGCTTTTCAGGTTCTTAGAGAAGACAGTTTTTGTAAAACATTGCAGATTGAGCAGTGTTTTTGTGGAAATGACTACCAGGCTCTGTACCTGGTTGGATCTGCCGTTTACTGAAAGGCTGGAGTAGTTCAGGAGATCATAGTGTTGTAGAAATCCTCTTCCACCTGGATTTTCCATCAGGGCACCTGCTTTATTCCAGGCACAACCCATGAATGCTCCAAAGTGGAGAGAGGGGATTAAGAGGGAGACTCTGAGTGTGGGAATTGCAGCATTAACCCTTTTATTAATAGGTCAGAAAGAGGCATCTGTCTGAGAGTCCAGTGTTAAACGGAAGATCCCAAATAGTTCCCAATTACAAAGAGAGAAAGAAAAACCCCAACCAAAACCCAAGGGGCTGCGGAACGGAACCAGATGATCTTTAAGTTCCCTCCCAACCCAAACCATCCTGTGAGTCTACGAAATATGCTCACACGTTCTCACAGAGTGATTAAAGAGTTTTCTCCCCAGGAGGGGCTCGGAGCTCAGCATCCCACCACCAGCCCTGGCACTGCCCTGCCTGCAGCGGGAGGCACGGTCCCTCTCCTGGGACTTTGGAGAGGCTGTTGCCAGGCTGGCTTTTACTTGTCACTGCAAAGCACTGCAGGACAGATGTCACCCAGCCCATTCTCACGGGGCAATTCAGAGAAGAGGAACTCCACGGCCCATTTTCTGTTACTGGAACAGGACCGATAGAAACCACAAAAACAATGTCAAGGCGGCGTATCCAGCCGGAGAACGGCGTGAAATTAATTACCATCAGTAGCACAGGGCAGATCTGGGCTCCTGCTGTGGCACGCAGATCTGGAATCGGATCCAATTCCAAAGTTTCCCAGAGTTCAGGGAGTTTTTACATCTTGTCTGGCCAGTTTGCATCCCTCCTCGTGAAGGGCTGGCCGAGGTGTAACTGTCTGAGTTACAAAGCAGCTTTGCGTGGTGGTTCTGACAACGAAGAACATGAATGAGGATTTTGGAGACACCGAAACGTGTTTGTATAACCATAATGAACACACCCAAGTATCAGTGACCTCTCCCGAAGGGCACAGCCCCAAGAGAAGAAGGGAAACCCGGCAAAGACGTCTCGTGCTTTGCCCAGACATAGGGGAAACTTGCCTTACAGACAAAGAACTGCGCAAATATCGTCACCCACTTGAGAAGAGGAGGAAAAGGGAGTTACCTGGAGCGAATTAAGACTCAGAAGGATAAAAACAATCAGAAAAAAAAAAGAAAAAAAAGGAGAGACACAAGCCAAATGCTTTAAAATCTATAGCCTATCCTCCACCTCCCTTGCCAGCCCAGCCAAACAATGCCTGGAGCCTGGTATCACTTGTGAATGATTTACCCAAACCAGGACTGGGATCCCAGGCTGGAACACCACTGTTCCCAGTTCCCATACCATTGCACAGCTCCCTGGCCAGTCCCTTCTATTCTCTGAACCCTTCCTTGCCTGTGGGTGAGTCCCTTACCCAATGTCATGGAGATGGAACAAATCCAAGGAGGAAGGGAATCCCAGATGTGCCTTCAGGCACCACTCACTGTGTCCAGTAGAGCCAGAGAGATGGGAACAGCTACTTCTGGATTTACCTCGTGCTGAGGTTCCCACTCACACCGTGACCCCCAGCAGGATGGAAGGAAGGAGTCCTCACCCCCAGCTGCCTTTCACGTCGGAGAACAGCTCTCCTCATTTATCAGCACAACCCCAGCACGTGAATCAACACGGCTCCTGTTTGCTGGCAGATGGGTGTTCGTTTCCCTTCTCCAAAGACAAATACATAGATGGGAACAGCTACTTCTGGATTTACCTCGTGCTGAGGTTCCCACTCACACCGTGACCCCCAGCAGGATGGAAGGAAGGAGTCCTCACCCCCAGCTGCCTTTCACGTCGGAGAACAGCTCTCCTCATTTATCAGCACAACCCCAGCACGTGAATCAACACGGCTCCTGTTTGCTGGCAGATGGGTGTTCGTTTCCCTTCTCCAAAGACAAATACATCTGCTAGGCCAAGGGTTTTCAGCCTTCCATTCCAGACTAAGAAGTAAATAGGAAACTTTGTTCTTCCCAGTAATAATTTGGGTTTCTGTCCTGCTCTGAGCAGAAGAACAAAACAACCGTGCAGCACACAACGCTTTG